TGCTCTTATAATGGTCAGAGAAAAGTAACTTTTTCTAGTGAAAGTAAAAAATCATTCCGCCTTATTTATTTTCACCAGCATCTGTTCCAATGGCACTTGGGAACGCTGGGAGCGCAGCAGGTTCACTTGAACCCGAAGTGTTTGCAGCACTCACCTGAAATAAACAAACTTGCTCGAAATTAAAATCAAATAAACTGTTAAACGTAAACTTTTTATACGTATCATTTTGTTAAACAAAAACGGCATCATATTTTTCAAAGGCAATTAAACTTTGTATTTAAAATAATTCCGTATTGGAGTCGATTGTGAAAATAACTATAATTGAATTTTAACCCCCGATACATTAATTGTTAAACTTAACATTATACTATAAATATATTTCAATGGATATTGCTATAAAAGCGAAGTAATCAATCGAAAATTATTCTATTTGAGAATATCTAAAGAACTAAATGTAATACCTCATATTTATAATGTGCAAGTGAAATATGACATGGATAAGACATCACTTGAACCAATCGCTTATCTACTTTCAAAAATTTCTCGATTAATAGGAAAACCCCGTTTGTTATGAATTTCATGAATCACATAATTTGTAGTATTTCATATTTGAGTTCTCATGGATTCAAATGTAATAGTTGCAAAAACAAATGTCTAAAAGTTACAAAAATAAAAGTCTGTCTTAAAATTTAGCAGTTTCTACGTAGAACGACGTATTTTCCAATATATATTAGCTCAACAGTTTTTAAATAAAAATTTAAAAATATTATGACGGAAAAAATTAATATCATGTTATGAATTCTGCGGAAAAAGTGAGAGAAATCTAGAGCACATTATGATTGTATTTCTTTATGAATATAGCATGAATTGAATTAATTCGCGGTGCCTGAAATCAAAGAAAAGGCATTCTTCTATTAGTTATAGATTTTACCATATATTGTCTCTTTAAGATCTACTAAGATTTCTCATCAAGATGTAAAAACACTTTCAAGATAAACAAAATACCGCAGGCTGAAAATTTTCCTTTCAAACCGAAACTTCTCGGAAGCTTTAAAAATTATTTCGATTTTTGAAATACAAAACAAATGGTGAAAAACTCTGGCTTTTTATTAATTATTTTTTCTATACAACATTTCGCTTAATGATATTGAATTGTTGATAAAGGTAAACTATCAGATCAAAATATAACCATAAGCACTTTACTTAAATGCTTAATACTTTACTCATCACTATTTGTTGCTGTTTTTCAAATTTTGTAATTTTCTTTTTCATAATAATATTCTGGGGCAGGAATCAGAAAGTTTTAACAATTTGTAAGAAAATATTCTACGTCCATTATTGTACTAAGCAAATAAAACCATCCAATGATAGAAACAGCTAAAAAAAAAGATGAAAACTCATAATCGATTTCAAATGAGATTTAATATGTCCTTCAAAAGGAATGAATCGAAATAGCTTTCGTTCAAAAACTGGAAAGTGCATTAAAAAGTAGAAAAATCAAAATATACCATCATGGGTGTCTGCCTTTTCTTTAAATTCATAAAGAATTTAAGATCCTAGATAATTACGCAGCAGAAAAAGAAAATCTTGATGTTTATATTCCACTTTGAGAGGGCGGGAGAGAGAATAGAAAGAGCAGTAAAAAATTTTGTTATTATTCATAGTTCCGCTCAGAAACATAAACAGTATCAGATGAAAATCATTAGTTGAATTGCGGAAGAATCAAAAACATAACTTATAGATTATGTTTATTTCAAGAAGCAAAAAAAAAAAAACATTTCATGAATTACCAAATAGACACTTTTTAAAAATATCAAGTGCAAAAATAATACATCAGTAGCGTAAACTGACTTAGCATGATATTAAAAAACAGTTAAGCACTAATGGTTTATTGTCTCCGTTACCTGAACTCATCGGAGCCGAAGACGCCTTGGGGCAGCAGTTCCAGTCTCCGCTCTCGGTTTGGCAGCATTCAGCCGTAGCAGGGCACAAATGGAGTTGGTCTGGACAGATATCGATGCCAATATCTTTCAGGTGCTGACCCATCACAGTATTTTGAGGTTGCTTCATGCCTAACGGTTTTGCCAAAGGGATTCAAACTCACCTGGAAAAAAGACAATTTTTCACATTCATATTTCAAAATTAGTTGAAATCACCTCACTTGTACTGAGCAAAGTAAACCACGGATACATTCAATTCATGCATCTATTTCGAACTAGGTCAATTTCGAGTCTTTTGGTGCTCTGCATTACAAAAATGCATTCACTGAAAATTCATTGGATAAAAAGTTGCATTTGATATTTTTTCTTGGCTTTTAAAAATTATAAATTTGTATATTTTTTGCTTTTTCTTGTACTGACATAGAAGAGATGGCCGCTGTTTGAATCGCTACTGTATTAGCTACAAAATAAATACAACAATAACACGTGACCGATTGTAATTATCAAATTTTTTCAGGGATTATAATCGGTAGCAGATTTTGTCTCAACTCCTGTCTTCAAGTATTTATTTTTAAAAAATTATATAATTCCTGTAGTCTTGACTTATGCTCTCAATTTTATAACAGTATGTTTCATTTTTTTAAACTCTAACTTTCTATATAAGTTTCTAAGGACTTAATAGTTCCTATAAAGAGTTAATATTCATAGAGAGTAAAGAGTCAAGAAGTTTGAAAAAAACTAATATCTGCAGATAAGAACCTATTTCCTCAAGAGAATCCTCAATAGTTTTATAGAGGTAAGAGGAGAATTTTATAAATTTCGCATGAAGTGCAATGAAGTTATTACTTTAATGTCTTATAAATTTTCATCATTTTGGTTTGTATATTAACATTATACATTCACTGCTTAGTTATTTGAGAGTATATTTTAATGAGTATAAATTAATTTTAGTTCGAAGTGTCAATGAAATAGTTTAAATTTGCCATATCCTTAATCACGGCTGAAAAGTTGTCAGTTCGAGAAATGGAGAATTCTCAACATATAATAAAAAATTAAATTTTTACTGCTATTCAGATCAGTAAGATTTAGCGGTTAAAGTTTAGTTTAGAGTAAGAAGCCGTTTCTCCCTGCTTTGCATCGCCAACTTTTTGACGCCAGAAGGAAGACGGTTTAACGATGTGTTCACATTTGTTTTGGTTGCGCAGTGACGTTCCAATCAGTGTCTGGCGTGCGCATCACTAAATTGGATTTCTGCGCTTCGAAGCTTCATCTTGATTGGTCAGCTATGCGCTAATTTAAATTTTATTGGACGATTTAATAGAATTTGCATAATATTTGGTTTGGAATTTAATGGTCTTAATTTTGGAAGTTTAGTTCATGTATTTTAAACAACTACGGTGTTTATGTTTTCAGATAAGAACTCACTTTGGCATTCAATTCCTTCCTGGCATTCAATGAGGAAGCGAAGCTACTAGTTTCCTGCTTTGCAGAAATGTTTTTTAAGGTTTTTTTAAGTTAAAAAATTTGCCCGGTACGCAAGAGAAGAATAAAATGTTCACTGATCACCCAAAACAAACATCCTCACATCGCCAAACCATCTGGCCCTTGGCGACGAAAAGTTGGCGATGCAAAGCAAGGAGGAACGGCTCCGTACCCTAAACTTAACTTTTACTGATTTAGCGAAATACTGTTCAACAAGAAATTATCTGAAATCGGATCTCTTATAGCATAATAAACGTAGCAACTAGTGTATTTCCAAGCAGTACTGTCTGGCTACCAACAACTATGCAGGCATTCATCTCATATTTGAAAGAGGCAAATTTTAAGTTCTTTAGCTTCTAAATTAACTCTGATCTAAAGTTTTCAAAAAGCTGTGCAACTGTCCCTAATTTGTCCAGGTTCTTTAAGATCACGGGGACAAAATCTTCGCCAATTTCGATATTATTCTTGCAGTTGCAATATATATACATATATATATATCTGCTTGAAATCTGAGATTGTTGTGGAGTATATGTTATGACTCGAATCAGATATATATCGGACAAACAAAGAATAGGACATTTTTGTGACAACTCTTGAGCGAAGGGTCAGACTGTGAATCTTTAATTTGTATTCCACACTCTTTCTATATACATCTCGTTTTTTACGCCATTGTTCGTTTTGCATACCTTGTATTTTATTATTTTTAATTAATTTCAGGTGGCTTTGACTCATCCATAAGGTTGAAGACCTGCAGATCTGCTGTGAGAACTTCAAAACACTATACTACAGTAATGCAATTAAAACCGTATGCCGCAATCTCAAGTAGGATCGCACATGAAAATGTCAGTTGCGAGAAATTTTGGACTCTTAAACAATTGTAAGAAAGAATACTGTAGTTAAGGGAAGATTGATAACTTAATTGACTTCTCCAAAGTTTTCTAAATTATTATTTTTATTGATTTTCTTTTTAATTATCATTAACCAATGCTTTACTAGAGAAAAGAAAAATAGAAATCAAAAAAGGGAATATCATAAATAATTAATAAAAAAAATTTATTTTGCAATTGCATTAACTTGCCTAGTGGCATCCATTTTAAAGCTTAATTACTGTTTCTGTTTTATGACTCAGCAATTCTAAATTTTAACAAGGGATGCATTTTTGCTAATATATATATTCGACTTTAGAGACATATAATCTCACGTGAGAGGAAAGAGATATAAATTTAGAATACAAAGCAAATATAGTGAAAGTGATCATAAATGCTATTGTAGAATACGAGGTTGATAATACTACTTAAATTTTAAGATAAGATGAAAAATTTGGAATCTGAAATTAATTCGTATTGGAAGATATTTCAAAAGATTAAGTTTCATTTTAAAAGAAAGTCAAAGTTAGAGTTTTGTGTTATGTATTTTTTCAGACGCATTTTTTCTGCCTTATTACTCATCTCTTACATTTTAGTCCAGGTTCATCAATTAAAGAAAACTATTCGACAAAATTTTAAATATGATTCACTTTCTACTTGCAAACAGAATAAATGAACTAAACACACTTCCATGTGCCTACTACAATTGCCAACGGCCATACCATGCTGAAAGCTCCGGTTCTCGTCTGATCACCGCAGACAAGCAGCATCGGGACTGGTCAGTACTTGGGAGGGTGACCACCTGGGAAAACCGCATGCTGTGGGCATCTTTTTGTCCCATGTCCATTCAACCGGTCCGGTTGCCGCAATGGCATCAGGTACGGGGACATGGGGTGGCGTTCTGTCTATTAGAGTTTATTCTTTAAAAAATGCCTTAAAATTTTTCTCAGTAACACTACCATTTAGATAATGTCAATCTATCCTCTTTTCCGCAGAGTTTCTTCTTCTAATAAGAGTTTTTCAGTGTTCTTATTACAAATATAACCAAGAAAATAAAACAAGAAACAAGCATCAATTACAGCTAAGCAAAGATATATTTTATCGATGCATTTATTTATAATTTTTTCATAAAATATTATAAATAAAAATGGATATTTTTATGTTTGTTTGTTTATATGGATGGAAAACTTGACGGAAACATTCGCCCATTTGGATCACCCCAATGGACGTCAGAGCCTATAGCTTAAGGCATGGTATGAAGCTGACAACTTTAAAGCAAAGACAATTTTTAATCAATTTTTTTCCTATTTTTTAAGAGTTAAATTGCTATAGAATGTTTCATATACGAATTGTAAAAAAGTAGAAATTAATTATTACGAGTTTCATGAATTTCATAAGGATTATATATTATATTTGAAATCAATGTTTTGAAAACACTTAAAGGTACCCGACTGCTTTAAAATCGTCGTTTTTGATGAAATTGTCAAAAAAAATTTTATGACTTAATTTTATAGCCTGTTTAATCAGCTTTCTAAAACTGTCTCACCTTTTACTCTACGTGAATTACAAATGGAGTTACAGCTGCTTTATTACCGAACTGTAAGCATTATTTTATGTTGCGTGAAAACTTTAAATGTGTTTTCTGAGAAATGATATTTTTGAGGAAAACCGTCGAACGTAACAATGATTTCTCAAAAAGTTATTCAAGTATTGATATGAAATTTTCTGAGATTGTTTTCTGTAATATGATTGATGTTTTCCTCTAAAAATTAAGGTCCATTTTAAAATCGAGTATTATTTTTAAGTGCTTAAATATAAACGAAAAGCATTTTTTATGAAAAATTACCAGTTTAGTAACTACGTTCAGCTATATCTCAAAACTATTTTGAAGTACAAGAACTATTTTAGAGCATAACGCAAATAACTGTCATAAAAATGTACTCCTACAAGGATTTATGTATATTTAGAATATGATTTTGTCTATGGCTGTTGGCGTAAGGCAAATATTTTAGTCATTTTTCTTCAAATTTCTCAGTTTTTTAAAAAAATATTATTTTGAAAGCCTAATTTTACAATATTTTCATAGTTTTAAAACATATGCAGTTGAAAAATAACATTAAAATATATATACAAGTTATTTTTCAAAAAAATGTCTCCGAACACAGTCGGATACCTTAAATAAAAAAAATTTCTGTATATAATTTGATTTCGCTTCCCAACAAATGTTGCTATATGATACCCTTATGATTTGTTTCCTAGTTGTCGATTATAAATTTCATAATTCTAAACGACACACAGAACCCACACAGCACACCCTACTCCCAAGGACTTCCCCCTGTACGTACTTCACGGGAGGCTGCGGTATCCAAAGGAGGTCGCGGCGGCGCCAAAGCACGCTCAAAGGACGGTCACAGGAAATCGAATGTCCGCCTAAATTGATACTTTCTACGGCGCTACGATGTCCTTCACGGGAGGTAGTGCACATCTCTGAGATAGCCGACGCGGGAGGCTTTAATGATACAGGTCATGGGATGGAGGCTCGTTTGCGTTTTAAAGGACCATTTTCATAGGATTTTGCACAAGAATGCTAAAATGAATCTTATTTTTTTCAAAGAAATAAAAAAAATCTTAATTGATTTTAGCTGTTTTAATTTTGTCCTGTCTGTTTTTAAAATTAATATTAAATCGGCGCTAATTTGTTTACTCACGCATGAATTACTTACTCGAAGAATGTTTTCTTTTTAAATGTAATTGTTTTTTATAAACTTATTTTAAATGAAAAAAAAAAAAACATTTTGTAAAGGTATTTAAATAGAAAAATTCCTTTGTAGTGATTAATACTTGTATTTTAATATTGTGTATTATTAATATATTTCTGAATATGAGACAGTATAAAAAATTCCCTCATTGAAATTAAGTTCTTCATTTATTTAAAAAAAAACCACCTGGAGTGTCAAAGTTTATCGAAGATAATGCTCTTAGAGGTGCTTTTACAAATTCGTAAATGGTTTTCAGAATTTATTGCAAAATTACATTCGTTGGGATATTTATTTATTTATTTCATCCAGAAAAAATGCAATAAATTTTTCGGCATACCTTTTTTAAAAATTTTGAAAATAGTTTTTCACGTTACTATTCCACAAAAAGAAAAAAAAAATACTTATTAATTATTTTTTTAAAATTGCGTATAAAAGTGTCAAAATTCTTACTCTACATTAAAAATCTGAAAAATACCCGAAAAAATTTTAAAGAATTTAATTTGGATTGAATTAAAATCTTTACTTAATAAAGCTATACTTTTCATGAATTTCATATCGGACATTTCCAAAAAAAAAAAAATATCCTCAAACGCATTAAAAATTTGCAATATGAATTTGCAATTTCACACTATTTTTATTCAATAAGACTTTTGTGAATAACTTCACAAAAATTTAAATTTTTATAGCAATTTGAAATGTTCAGTTATATTAATTTGAATCAAAATTATTTTTGATGTGATGCCTTTTTATTTAAGCCGAAGAAACCTCACAGTTTCCACTCCAATTTACAGCTGTTTTTTTTTTATATATGTGTGCAATATAATGTTTTTATCTTGACACAAATTTACAATTTTGTCTGGCGCAGAATAGTCAACGTAATGGCTCTTGGACAGAAAAAACCCCAACAAACCATCCACTCTAATTTATTTTTGAAATTTCGAAACTAATATCAAAGAATTTAATAACATAACTAGCAACATTGTCGATTTGTTAAAATTGAGAACTAGAAAGTAATTTTGTAAAAAAAATTATTGATAGCGCCATTATTCTTTTCACAGTTGATGTTTAGATTATAAGATATCCTTTCTATGGCATATCATAGTTTCTGATTATGGATTTAGTTATTTTGAATTAAGAATTTTGGCAAAATTTACCCCATACTCTGTTTTCCTAACTTCAACACCACACCAACATAAAGATATACTTGACTCAAGAAAGATTTTACACTAGGCCTATATACATTCAATGTTTTTGACAATTTTCAATGTTATGTCATCTTTTAATATATCATTTATGTTATATTTTTCCATTGTTTTGTTGAAGCTATAAATAAAAAAAATTACATGATATATAAACGACTGCCTATCACCTATATTCAAATTTAAATAATGGAAAGTGCATGATACATAAAATGGCTAATTTATTTTGTAATTTTATTCTTGATTGAAACCCACAATAAATTTTCTGCATATTAGGTAGCATTATTTTAAAATTGCTCTCTGTAGTTCATATTTTAGTTTGTTGCCATGGTTCCATCTCGTTTCAAACATTTTTATACAAATTTAAGAAGATCTATTAACATGTTTTAAGCCGGTTACCACTGAAAGGCAATTCATTATTCTTCCTTAGTTTTTAAACCTGTTAAGCTACTGCTTTGAAAGACGAGTGCGCTCCCTTGACTTTCTTGTAGTATACTCCCAAATAACAACGTAATGTGTAGAGGTAAAAATTTATCAAGCCTTTTCATGTTGGCAGATCTTTTTTCAAAATTATACCAGACCTGGACCTGGTGTCCGATATACCCGACATCAACTTTGAACTGATCATATTAATTCAATATTTGACAAAACTACTGCTGTTTTTTTTTCATTAGATTCACGATTTTCTTATCAATATAATCGTTGTAAGAATTCTTTCGTTTCTGGCATGGATTCATTTCATTTTTTTAGTTTTACTAAAAAAACTCAAGAAAATAGTCGTTCTTCCCAAAATAGAGCTCGGTGGTGAATTGTGTTTTTCGAGTAATTTCTTGTTTTTAATCCTTTTTTATCATTTAAAAGGCTTCTGCAATATTTAATTATTCTTTGACCACCATTTTAAAGTGAAATTTGTGTGATCCTTAGACTTTTTTCAGTTGAAATATCCGGTATTTTCCGGATGCCGGACACGGAGTAACTTTTTTAATTTTTTATCTACAGGCTTGGAATTTCATTTATGTTTTAATTTTTTCAGTAGTACACCGTACGCGAAAGGAAAAAAAATCTAATTCATTATTTCTTAATTCCGACTGAAGGGGTTAAATCTAGAAGGAGGAGGCTTGTTTTGGTATTAAGACCTTATACTAAATTTCATTTATCTAAGTTCTTGTGTTTCTGTTTTATTGTATTGATTATACATACGGATAGATAAACAGTATACACGTTGACAGATTTTGTTCAAATATTGATACAAATATACAGTTTTGGTATAAAGGCTATTTGCTAAATATCCATTTAGCTTTATTTCTATACAAAATAATGATAATTTCAATAGATTTGCTTATGCGAAATTTCGATTTCCAGAGAATATATGAATCAAATTAGCGTTGAAAGTGAGGTGTAGGCTTACTTCATCAATTGCCCTATAGTTCTTATAACAGCATAAAATGCTGCTTTGAAGCAGTAAATATGAAACTAAAGTTTCATTGTTTCAAAGAAATTATTTAACTGCTATTTTTTTCCGAATTTCCAGACATTTACTCGTATTTAAAATGAATTTGCTTGCTAAGTCAAAGGAACTATGAACTAAAATATTTCTGCTGTTAATTGGGAGTTTACCTATTGCAGTAATTTAGTTAAATAGATGAAATTAAAACTTAGCACACAGTATTTGAATTAATTTATATTAAAATCGACGTTATATAGGTATTGTGAATTGAATCCGTCCAACAAAATTATAAAAAAAAGTTCCTTTTGAAATCCTGGAGTATAATAAAAAGGTTACTGAACCAAATAAACAAGTATTTTTCTTTGTATCTCCCATTGGGATGGAAATGACCTTCACATGTTTCGCAATTGCTCCAGT